ATTACCATTTTATTAGTAGTTTGTCATTTTCTTAATCCCATAATTCAGTTTATCCTCATTCTTGGTCTTACTAGTTAAAATCAATCTATAGTCAATTCCACACTCCTGGTTGACTTAATACCAGTTCCCCTCGTTTGGTTTTTGTTCAGTTATACTTAGGGAAGTTGTGTTTGTTTTTGGGGGCAAGGTCTCACTCTGCCACCCAGGGTTGGAATGCAGTGGCATAATCATAACTCACTGCAGCCTCAGACACTTGGGTTCAGGCAGTCCTTCTGCCTCAGCCTCCCGAGTCGCTGGGTCTATAGGCACATGCCACCATGTCCCATTAATTTTGTTGTATTTTTTGTAGAGATGAGGTCTTGCTATGTTGCCTAAGCTGGTCTTGAACTCCTGGGCTCAGCGATCTTCCCACCTCAGCCTCCCAAAGTGCTGGGATGATAGGCATGAGCCACCGCACCTTGCCCTAGAGGAGTTTTTGAAATAGAATTTGCCCCCTGCCAATGGAGAGCCATACCTAAAGTTGTTGTCCTGTCTTGTGCCAGGTCGGGGTAGTTGTGGACTTGGGAGGCTGGTTCAACCCAAGGTCTTCCTTGACTTAAGCCTGAATTACCATAGCATTCATTCATTCACTCACTCACCAAGCCTTCACTCTGCCAGGAACTCTGTCAGATGGTAGGGATGCAGAGATAAATTTGACATCACACCTGTTCTGTAAAGGCTCATAGAAGTTGGAAATGCACATGTTGGAAGGGCAATGGCTTTCTGATACCTTGCACTACAGCACAATAGCCCCTTACACATGCTTCTCCCCCAGGGATTGAAGCTGTGGTAGGCAGGATAATGGCCTCCCAAAGACATCACATATTTCTCCAGACCTGTGAATATGTTGTTTTATATGGAAAGGAGAGATAAAAAGAACAGAACAGAACAGTTGCTGAACAGAAACTTATGAGACAGGGATATTATCTTAGATAGTCCAGGCGGGACCACTGCAACCACCATGGTCTCTATCAGTAAAAGAAGGAGCAAGAAGAGCCAGAGAGATTGCAGTGTGACAAGTTCTTGACTTGCTGTTACTAGCTTTGAAGATGGAAGAAAAGTTTCACAAGTCAAGAAATGAGTGCATTTGGGAGGCAGAGGGGAGACCTCAGTAGTTCAAGACAAGCAGGGGCAACACAGTGAGACCTCATGTCCACAAAAAATTAGCTGAGCATGGTGGTGAGCACCTATAGTTCCAGCTACTTGGAATGCTAGGGTGGAAAGATAGCTTGAGCCTAGCAGGTTGAGGCTGCGGTAGCCATGATAACACTACTGCACTCTGGCCTAAGTGACAGAGTGAGTCCCTGACACAAAAAAAGAAAAGAAGAAAGAAACAAGAGCAGCTCTGAAAGCTGGAAAATGCCAGGGAATGGGTTCTCCCCTCAAGCCTCCTCAAAGAAAAAAGCCTGACCAGTACCTTAACTTTCAACTAATGAGGCCCATTTCAGACTTCAGAGTTCCAGAACTGTAAGTTAATAAATTTGAGTTGTTTTAAGCCACTAAGTTTGTGGCAATTTGATACAATAATAATAGGAAACTAACACATGCAGGAGTATCTGAGGGGTGTGCTTGGTCATATTAACCAGGTATATTCCTTCTTCAGTGTCATTTAAAGTGTCATTTTCACATTAAGCATATGAAGTAGAATGAAATTTAGCTTTGACTATGTATAAAGCAGAAGCTTTCAAAAGGTTTCTTTTCTCGATTTATTTTTTTTGAGTTGGAGTCTCACTCTCCCAGGCTGGAGTGCAGTCACACGCTCACAGTTACCATAGCCTCAACCTCAAAATGTTTCTAATTTGGTAACTCTTTTGAGCCCTAGGCTCCATTTCCCCTTCCCTTCTCTGGGATGGAAGTGTTTAAAAGCCCCGTTTTATCTAAGAGCTATAGGCAGTGATTACTAGACTACCACCATTTTTATTAGGAGAATGTTGCACCTAGGTCTTCTTAAACTCAACATTTTCAAATCCATGTTCCCAAAGATGCAATCATTAGCATTTTAAGGATTTAAAAATACTCTGTGTCAAACGATGGCAATATCTAACATTTTATAAGCTTTCCACACTCTTTATCTGGTGCCTTGTGAAGAGACATAAGTTCACAACGGTTGTCTGAGGTTAATAGGTAATGAGTCTTATAAGTGGGAGCTAAACTCAGAATCTGCAACAGCATAAAGGATGGTATAATGGACATTGGAGACTCAGAGGGAGCAGGCTGGGAAGGCGTGGAGGGACAAAAAATCACGTATCAGGTACAATGTGCACAGGTGGTGGGTACACTTGAAGCCCAGACTTCTTCACCACTGTACAGTGTAACCATTTAACCAGCAACTATTCATTTCCCATAGAACTATTTTTTTTTTTGAGTTGGAGTCTCAGTCTGTCACCCAGGTTAGAGTGCTGTGCATGCTCATGGCCACCTCATCATCGACCTGCTGGACTCAGGCGATCCTTTCACCTCAGCCTTGCAAGTAGCTGGGACTACAGATGCATGCCACCAAGCTCGGCTAGTTTTTTGATTTATTGTAGAGATGAGGTCTCGCCTAGTTGCCCAGGCTGGTCTCGAAACCGTGGGCTCAGGCAATCCTCTCACCTTGGCCTCCCAAAGTGCTGGGATCATAGGCGTGAGCCGCTGCACCCACCCAAAACTATTAAAATAAAGAAACAAAATAGGTAGTGAGTGGTAGTGTTTGGTGATGGCAACAATTGAACCCTGTTCTCTGCCTGTGCTCTTTCCATAAGGCCAGGGTGACTGCCAGGCATATTACTCACTGGAGACGTTTCTCGGGGACAGGCCACTGAGAACCCAGCCCTGGATTCACCCCGTCTCTGCAAGGTTACCACTGAATTCGCATGGCCCTGAGCCTGCACAGTGGCTGCTCTTGATGTAGGTGTCACCGCTTTCATTCTGACTATCAAACTGTAGAGGCCCCTTCTCATATGACTGGATCTGTTCTCATGAAAAGATCACATTGACAAAAGAGAGCACTGAAGAGAGCACTGACAATGAGCAAGAGCACGATGGGGCTTCTGATAACGGCCAAAGCCATTTTTCATGGTGATCCTAATGCTGCTGATGCCAAGAAGATGCAGAAAGAGGAGGAACCAATCTCTCATGCTCCTCTGGGGTCAAGATCGGAGCCCTCTTCTGGTTTTTTCCAACAGCCTTCTTTTCATTGTCTAGCAGCTCAGCATCTGGGACCAAGTATCCGAAGCCACAGTTCTGTTTTTGCAATCAGACGTTGTACCCACTGAAGGACTCAAGGATTGTGGAAGGGTTTATTTTTGTTTTTATTTTTTTAACTACAGAGGAGATGTTTCTTTTTCTTTTTCATTGTTTCTCTCCTACACCAATTCAGAGTCTATACTTCCTGTTTGTTTGTTAGTTTGTTTGTTTGTTTTTGAGGCAGCATCTCACTCTATTGTCCAGGTTGTAGTGCAGTGACAGAATCATGGCTCACTACAGCCTCAAACTCTTGGGCTCAAGGGAGTCTCCCACATCAGCCTCCTGAGCAGCTGGGATGACAGGCACACACCTCCATGCTGGGCTAATTTTTTTATCTTTCTGTAGAGACAAGGTCTTGCGGGTCTGTCCTGGCTGGTCTCAAACTCCTGGGCTCAAGGAATCCTCCTGCCTTGGCCTCCTAAAGTGCTGGGATTGTAGACACAAACTACCATGCTTGGCACCAAAGTCTATACTTCCTATAATCTTTCAAATCATCTTTTCAAAGATGCCCTGTTTGACCATCCGTGTAAATATCACCCTCTCCTAAGCCCACCTTTTAAACTCTCTAGTCCTTTATTTTGCTCTACTCATTTTTTCCTATCATTTCTCACATCTAAAATATTAAATTTTTTTTTTTTTCTGACTCTCCTACCTAAGATGTAAGCTCCATAAGAGGAGATGTTGTATCTCCTTTGTTTGCTGTTGTATTCCCAGTACCTAGACAAGTGTCTGGCATAGAGCAAAACTCAGTCAGTACTTGTTGAATGAATTGCTGAATTCTTGACATCTCCTCATGTTGGTACAATCCTGGGCCTGCCACAGAAAATAACCTAGTGATATAAAAAGCAAGAAGGAATATCAAGAGGGTGGGGGGAAATCCCTTAAGTTACTTTTTTTTTTTTTGTAGTCAAAATTTTTAGTTTCTAATTGATTGATTGGGAGAAGGATGCAAAGAGGGAACTATCAGAAGTATCGAGTATTAAGTAAGCTCTAAGCCCTCAGAATGAAGTTTCTAGGCTGCCGACGCCAGGCCTCCTGGGCTGAGTCCTTTTTCTGCCCACACACCCCTCCTCCTGAATAGAAGCGGAGGAAATCCCACCTGAGCACTAGCCTGCTCAGGTCAAGTTCACTTAAGAAGACAAAGGCTTCCTTTATCTACTTTAGTAACTGGGTGATGGGAGAAAGTGAAGAAAATGCTGTGAGTTCACTTTTTTTTGAGATTCACTTACTTTGTTACCAGTTTGTTCTGAAACTGGTATGACAGTACAAAAGATCCTCCTATACTTCAGTGCATTTGTTTAGTTTTCTTTTCCCGGCTTTGGTAAAACCTTCCTAGGTTTTCCAAAGGACTTCCAGTCCTTGCTTCAGATCTAAATAGAATGCTACCTCCTTTACAAAAACTGTCCTGAGTCCTCCCAAAGAAAGGTCTTCAGGGCCACTGGGGGCTGTCACCATGCTTTGTTCCCACTGCTACCGTTGATTTCAATGCCATGTTCATTTAAACAGCCATACCCATAACTGGTTCTGAGCACTAGAACACCAGAGAACGTTTATATCTTTGTCCAACTTAAGTGCCTCGCACACAGTTACCACCTGATCTCTGCTGAGACAATGGGAACATGAATACATGAAAAACCAAGAGGCTTTACAATCCATTTATAGTTCTCCAGTGAACACCTGGACCTTCCTTCTGTGGATACTATTGAATTATACATGTGTTTTTTGTCTTCACTTAGGTACTCTGATGGTTCTAAAGCATCCCTACCCAAGAAAAGTGGAAGAACCTTCCATTTATGAGTCTGTCCGGGTTCACACAGCAATGCAGACAGGAAGAACAGAAAATGACCTTGTGCCCACCGCGCCTTCTGTGAGTGAACATCCCCTTGACCACAAGCTCTCTGGAGGCTGGGTACTGTGGCTCATACCTATAATCCCAGCACTTTGGGAGGTTGAGTTAAGAGGATTGCCTGAGCCCACGGGTTTAAGACCAGCCTGGGCAACTTGGTGAGTCCTCATCTCTACAATAAATCAAAAAATTAGCCAGGTGTTATGGTGCGTGCCTGTATTTCCAACTACTCAGAAGGCTGAGGCAGAAGGATCACCTGAGCCCAGCAGGTGGAGGCTGTGGTGGCTGTGAGCATGTTATTGTACTCCAGCCTGGGTGACAGAGTGAGACTCCAATTAAAAAAAAATCCAGCTTGGGATATAAAACTTGAAAAGGAATATAAGATTCGAAGCCTATGATTCAATTCATCTGGCCCAGGATAAAATCATATGAAATACAATGCAATAGCGATAGGATTTTAAATGCTTAGAAAATGATGCTTAATTCTGTTTTCAGTTAACCAAACAAGTTCCTAGTAGAATAAGCAAGAGATGCTTGCATTCACCTAGTTGACTAAACTACTATTCTTCTAAAATTTTCTTAAATGAAGAATATCTTTTTTTAAAACATTTTAACTGTCTATGGAAGAGAAATATTCTCCACTTTTACTATAAAAACTTGGGATGTTGTTTTTCCTAGCCTTTTTCTCCTTCCCTGACTGAACTGTACCAACAGAAGACATTTGCACTTCTTTGCAACGTGAGCCATTGTTCAGTTTCAGTGCAATTGGATCACTCGTTGCTTGCCCAAGAGTGCATTCTGTGATCTGTGACTCAGCAAGATTCCTCTCCAACTCCCTCTCCCCTTCATTATCCTTAGGGCTCTTCTATTCATTGTCTTTTCCCATTTTTTTTTTAAGTCAGAATCTCACTCTGTCACCCAGGCTAGTGTGCAGTGGCATGATCACAACAACCAAGGCTCACAGCAGCCTCAGCATCCTGGGCTCAGATGATCCTTCCACCTTAGCCTCCCAAGTAGCTGGTACTACAGACACATGCCGCCATGCTCAGTCAATTTTTAAATTTATTGTAGAGACAAGATCTCACTATGCTGCCCAGGCTGGTCTCGAGCATCTGGCTCAAGCAATCCTTCTGCCTCAGCCTCCCAAAGTGCTGCAATTATAGTCCTGAGCCACTGCACCTGGCCATCTCTTCCTTGTTAGCCAAATACTCCTGGTAGAGGAAATCTGAATTTGGGCAGATGATAAAAAGAACAATACCCAAATGATATGTCAAGAACTAATAGACAGCAATCATTACATTTGAAAAATAATCACTTGAAGATATTTACCCACAAGTTAGATTAAAATAAGTGTGACCTTTCTGTCTCTGCAGTACTTTTTTTACCCTGTTTATCATATGATCTCCCCACTTAACATCCTTCTGGGGGTGTCCTCGGTCTTCATGGCACCCTGGGACCCTGCATGCCTCTCTGGCCCCATCTCACGCTACTCATACACTCATGCTGTGAAACCTGGCTCTCCGAACAATGTGCATTTCTCTAGACATGCTCTTTCTTCCCTCTCTGCTTCTGAAATGCCATCAACACCATTACTGTCTGCTCATCCCCCAAGACTAACATCAGCAGTCAGCATCCTCCAGGAAGCCTGCGTGACCCTGCTAGCTTCTTTTTAAATGTCTCTCTTCTGTGCTCCTGAGCACCCTCTGTTTGCCTTTATCCTGGAATTATCACACTGTAGACTAATGACCTGCACATCTGCCTCTCTTCCCCTGACATTCTAAGGACAGGACTCAAAGATTGTCTTTGTAGCTTTATAGCCCAGCCTAGCTTATGACACATCTTACATTTTTGTTGCTAGGCTACATTTCCTCAAAAATAAAAATCCTAGAAATGGACTAAGAAAGATATTTTGGTTTTGTTAGGGTTGGGGTTTAGGGTTCAGACCTCAGAACTTGAGACATTTTGGAAAGCAAGATGTTAATCCAAAGACAGAAGAGACCAAAGAATAAATCAAGACCTACCCTATAACCCAGCAGTTACCAACGTTTTTGGCTCAGCAACTGGTTTTGTGGAAGACAATTTTTCCACAATTGGGGGGTGGATTGTGCAGTCAAACCTCACTGTTAATGTTAATCTGTGTTTGCAGCTGCTCCCCAGCGCTAGCATCACCCCCTTAGTTCCACCTGAGATAAAATCATGCGTTAAACTCTCATAAGGAGCGCATAGCCTAGATCCCTTGCATGCCCAGTTCACAATAGGACTCGCGCTCCTATGAGAATCTAATGCCCCTGCTGATCTGACAGGAGGTGGAGCTCAGGCAGTAATGTGAGCAATGAGAGTGGCTATAAATACATATGTAGCTTCGCTTGCTTGCTTGCTGCTCACCTCCTGCTGTGTGGCCTGGTTCCTAACAGGTAATGGTCTGTGGCCTGGGGGTTGAGAGCCTCTGCTCTAACCAATTCTTGCTTTCCAGTTGACCAGTTACTTCTAATTTCCTTTTTACCCATCCTTAACCTGCCAGCAATCACCCTAATATCTCTTTTACTTGTACTCTCAGTTTAACTTCACATTCTTCCCTGTTATACTTCTCCTAAAGATCTCCACTTAGGGTCAAGCCACACTCTATCAAGTGTGTCTTTTATTGGCAGTAATATGTTAAAATTGTTAATACCTGATTTGTAGGTTTGGTGTGAGCATAAAATGTAATATGCTTAGGTAAAAATCAGCCTTTTTAGACCACAGTCTGGAAGCCTTGTTACTTACCTCTTTCACCCACTTGAAGTATCAGAGTTGCCTCAGTATCTAAATATGACAGCACATAGAAGGGTTCTATACAATGAAATTTTTAAACTAATGGTCAGTGACTGGTTGAGAATGACTGAACTCACAATATATAATGAGAAGATCATAAAGTTTATTAATGTGCATCAATAGGGACAAAAACTGTAAAGGTTTTGTCATGGATCTGAAATGTCTCTCATTACTTCTCATGAGAGAATCATCGGCAACAAGTGTGACTGGGAAAAGAGTTCTGGTCTGAACAGTACTACCAGTAGTAGTAGTACATACAATCAGAATGGCTGGATGAAGCAAGCTAGGGGGAAAGTGGTGGAAGATGAGATTATTGAGATAATGAGAGTCCAGATTGCGTAAGGCAACGGAGTTCTCAAAAACCAGCTTGGAAATGTACAAAAGTGTTTTCACTGGTGCAATGCTTTGGGGAGTACTAGCATTAGTGAATGTCAAAAGCCACGAAGAATTTGAGACTTTATGCTACTTGCAAGCTAATAAGTTAGCCTGCCACAGTACTATGGATAATGATGGATGACATAGGACTTCTGGGTCAGAGATGAAGGATAGTTTGTTTGGGGACTACTAACATTAGTACCTCTCTCGTTCCTTACTGAACACCAGAGTTTGCAGTTTCCATTGGTTACCCCCAACGGCCACAGGATACTGCACCTCTATCTCCAACCTGAGAGCACTAAGGGTTTTCAGATGTCTGCTTTCTCTTTTGGGGATGCAGTTCTTGTGCAAGCTCTAGCAGTGAAGGAAGAGAATTAAAAGAACTTCTGTTTTGAAGTGAAAATGAAAGATGACCTATTGCTCAAAAGTGCAGGTGCTTGTGTAAAACTGTTTTAACATCCTTTGGCAACTGCATTTAGGGGAAATATCTATTTATATGTTTTATAAACAGCATAGCATTGAGTTCCCCAAATAGGGTTAAATTTAATTAACTTATTTATTAAGCAAACTTTTTTCTATCTACCTATTTATCTATTTATTTATTTTTTGAGTCAGAGTCTCACTCTGTTGCCCAGGCTAGAGTGCAGTGGCACAAGTACGGCCACCACAGCCTCGACCTCTGGGCTCAGGCAATCCTTCCACCTCAGCCTTTCAAGTGGCTGGAACTATAGGCACGTGCCACCACGCTTGGCTAATTTTTTGATTTATTGTAGAGAAGAGGTCTCACCAATTTGCCCAGGCTGGTCTAGAACCCCTGGGTTTAGGCAATCCTCTTGTCTCAGCCTCCCAATGCTAGGATTACAGACTTGAGCCACCGCACCCAGCCCCAAACAAACTTTTTTCAAAAACACCTTCAATATTCCTATCATTGTTTTAGGGACAGGGAGTTGGCAAAGGCCCTCCCCTCACTGAGTTTACATTCTAGTGAGGGTCACAGACAATAACCAATGTAATAATATAATGCCAGATTGGAATATGTCTTTTTTTTTGTTAGTTAAGTCTCACTCAGTCGCCCAGGCTGGAGTGCAGTGGCACGCTCACAGCCACCCCCGCATCGACCTGCTGGGTTCAGGCGATCCTTGGTGTCAGGCTTCCAAGTAGCCAGAACTACAGGTGTGCACCACCATGCCTGGCTAGTATTTTGATTTTTATTGTAGAGACGAGGTCTCACCAATAGCCCGGGCTGGTTTCGAACCCATGGGCTCAGGCAATCCACTCGCCTCGGCCTCCCAAAGTGCTGTGCCACCAAGCCCGGCCAGGAATATGTCATTTCTTAAAAAGTAGGATAAGGAAAGAAGAGAGAAGCTGGGGAGGTCTCTCTGAGGAGGTACCATTAGATCAGAGACTTCACTGAAGGGAAGGAATAACTCATGTCCAGATGTGGAAAGAGTGCTGCAGGCAGAGAAAACTTCACAAAAGCCCTGAGGTGAGAGCTAAAATGAGGGTTTTCAAAGACCAGAAAGGTCAAAATGGCTGGATGGAGTAAGCTAGAGGGAAAGTGGTAGAAGATGAGATTATTGAGATGATGAGAGGCCAGATTGCGTAAGGCAACGGAGTTCTCAAAAACCAGCTTGGAAATGTACAAAAGTGTTTTCACTGGTGCAATGCTTTGGGGAGTACTAGCATTAGTGAATGTCAAAAGCCACGAAGAATTTGAGACTTTATGCTACTTGCAAGCTAATAAGTTAGCCTGCCACAGTACTATGGATAATGATGGATGACATAGGACTTCTGGGTCAGAGATGAAGGATAGTTTGTTACTCACAGTAATAGTA